TAATATTGACTGTAAACTGTAATTAAAAACACAATTTTAAATAAAAAAAATAAAAACAGATTTCTAAGAGAGAAAAAACAGTTGTAATAGGAGATTCAAGAAGAAAAAAGAGAGAAAAGGTAGCTGGGCACTTAGAGATGATTAATCAATTCCCAAAGTCAAGGTATAAGAGTATTGGAGACAATATATAGTGTATTCAAAGTCACACTGGAATCAAATCCTGACTTAGGCATTTAATAGATACATTAATAGGTAATTAACCAATCAGGGCCTAAGCATTCTATTTCTGAAATGGCATAGAATGTATCTCACTGAGTTAATAGGAGGATTAAATGACATCATAGCAATAAACTAGTTTACTCAGAGCCTGCCACATTGTAAGCAGTCAACAAATGCTGCCTATTACTAAAAAATTAATTTCTCCAGGATTCATGAGGTACTAGTAATGGTTTTTCGATTGTTGTATAGAACTACTTGCCTTAAAAGATCCACGAAAGTATTGGGAAACTAGAGGTCAACAATCCCAGAATACATATATACCCTTTCTAGGAAATCTCTTATAACAAAATATACATGGTTTGAATAGAAATTTTTGTTTCCTACCAAACCTAAGGCTATTAATCAACCTCCTGACAGGAAAGACTAATCTAGAACTGATGAGAAATTCAAGTAGTAACCATACAAGTCTTAGCTTTCCCAAGTCAACCCTGACTTCCAGTAGCCACCTTTTTTTAAATATCCAGTGTGGCCCTGGCCGGTTTGGCTCAGCGGTTAGAGCGTCGGCCTGCGGTCCAGAGAGACCCAGGTTTGGTTCCCACTAAGGGCACGTACCTCGGTTGCGGTTTGTCCCCGGCCCTGGTTGGGTCATGCGGGTGGCAGCCACTCAATGTGCACCTTTCACATCAATGTCTCTCTCTCTCTCTCTCTCTCTTCCTCTCTCTCCCTCCCACTCTATCTGAACAAAAAATGGAAAAATGTCCTCGGGTGAGGATAAAAAAAATAAAATAAAATATCCAGTGTGCCCGGTGCCGTATGTGAGGCCCTAGAAACGTTATCCTTTTAGTACCCTGTGCCATTTCATCCATTTCATCACCTGAGGATATTTTTTTTTCTATTTATCTTCAGATGGGGGGGGGGAGAGAAAGAAACATCGGTGTGAGAGGGATACATGGACTGGACGCCTCCTGCAAGACCCCAGCCAGGGCCGGGGACCAACCACAACACAGGTTCGTGCCTTTGAGCTTACGGATGAGGAAGCCGAGTGCCAGAGGCTAAGTGTCTTGTCTAAGTGTTAGAATTCAAATTTCTACTGCCTGGCTAAGCTACCAAGTTCCCATCTTTCCCCCAAGCCATGCTGCCTTACCATACGGATGCAGAAAAGGTCAATTAGAAATGTTTATCTGCTTAATGTTTTGGAAAAACTGATTTCTCAGGAGAAATGCAGACAAGTGTGATGAAGTGGCTCCTTCTCTTCGCAGGAACCCACATGGGTTGCCACAGGTGACCAGTCAGAAATATTTTGTTTTAAATCCTCACCCGAGGGTATTTTTTTTTTCCTATTTATCTTCAGATAGAGAGAGGGGGAGAGAGAGGGAGAGAGAGAGAAACACTGACATGAGAGGGACACATCAACTGGTTGTCTCACACACGACCCTGACCAGGGCCAGGGACCAACCGCAACTGAGGTACATGCCCTTGACCGGAATTGAACCCACAACTCATTGGTTCACGGGCCAACGTTCTAACCGCTGAGCCAAACCGGCCAGGGTGGTCAGAAGTATTTGAAACCTCCTATGAGGTAAATCAAACTGTTATTTCTAAGGCTCCTGTGAAATGTTACAAAAAGGGTAATAAAGGAAGCTGACTACAGCCAGCCTCCAACATTCAGAATTCTAGCGAGAACTGGTAAAGACTGTGTTCGCACAGTATGTCCCACCTAATCCCATTTACCACTTTCTCGGGGGTCTGCATTGGAAAAGAAAAAGAGCAAATCCAGGGAAAAGAGGTGATATGTCAAATGAACAGAACTCCCACTCTCAGGTAGGAATGGACTGTTCTTTTGGGTTAATGGCAGCCTTACTCTTCTGAAGTGCAGAGTGAAGGCAGCAAGCACTGTCACTGACTATTGTTGAAGGCACCCCCGTCGGGTAATGGGAGCATCCTGAAAGGCGATGTTATACCAGTTCACACAGGCTCTGAAAATAAATCCATTAAGTATCTGGGTCTGATCTGAGCCCTCCCTGAAAACAGGCAGCCATCATGCTGAGGGAGACACGCGCAGTCTTTCTCATTATGAAGAGATAGTGTCTACTTTAGGTGTTCAGGACCAACCCCTGACCTGCATCTCCAACACGGAGCTTATTAGGGATAAAGCAAAATCTTTAACTGTGCTCACAAAGAGCTTTGACATTCAAGAAATCATAAATATGAACCATAAACACATTACCTAAAGCATCTGGAAACCAGAGGCTGCCTCTAACACCAGCATTCATTTATCTCGGTGATGGGGAAAAGGCTTTTAAAATCACACATGAGACAGTGCCAAAAATAGTCATTAAGCTCTTCTCCTGGCGGGATGAGCTGCCCTGCATGACCACCTCTCCTGGAAGGGATGCGCCGACACAGCTGGCGCCTGGGATCAGCAAGAACAGGCTTGCAGCTCCGGCCTTCAGAGGAAGTGAGGCTGCCATTCATGAAAACCAGCAGCTGGTTACTATCAGTGCATTTAAGTCCCCTGTTTGACAAACAGAAAGCTAGACAATGAGGTCAGGCCCCTCCTAGCCAGGAGGAAGAGAGAGAATATTACGATGCTTCTAATCAGGAATACTGAAGCCAAGTCCACTTGGTTATCATAGTGTATTGATGCAAAACAGGGGCACAGTCCTGGCTGGTTTGGCTTAGCGGTTAGAGCATGGGCCCACAAACTAATGAATCCCGGGTTCAAATTCGGTCAAGGGCACATACTTCAGTTGCGGTTTGTCCCTGGCCCTGGTTGGGGTGGTGCAGGAGGCAACCAGTTGATGTGTCTCTTTCACATCAATGTTTCTCTCTCTCTCTTGCTCTCTCCCCCTCCCTCCCACTCCATCTGAGATAAATGGAAAAATATTCTCAGGTGAGGATTATAAACAAAACAAAACAGGGGCACAACTCGGGGAACCCACTGGACTTGGAAAGCAGCTTTGATTCCATACATTCAAGCAGAATGCAGGGACAAATGTCTTCCAACGGCAGCCTGAACTCTTTTCACATTTCCATCTCATTATAAGAGAAATACAGCTTTGATATATTTTGAGAGGGAACTTGGTTTACCTTTCATTGTAAATGCCCATACCCTAAGACTCAGTCATTCTACTTCTAGGAATCTAAACAGAAATACTTCCACGCGTTCACAAATTTTCCCACCCTCCAAACAAACATATACACTTTCATTGGGGAATGATTAAATAAATCATGGCAATCTACACTACGGATAATCTCAAAAAGACAACACATGCAAATATCTTCAAAGAGAAGTGAAAAACACATTATAGAGCATGAATGGTTTCAACCCCATTTATGTGAAAAACAAATCTCTGTACGGGACTGACAGAGTAGTGAAAACTTTCACTTGTACTCTATATTTCTGTATTGTTTGTATTTTTACAATGAGTATGTCTCTCTTGTTTTTGTTTTTTGTAACTTACAAATTTTTTTAAAAGTTACGTGGAAATATGTAGACTTATTCGATCAATATAAAAGTCCACTATAAACCCGCCATCCACACAGCTGTTGTTTCTATGTAAGTGGTAGAAGAAATTCTTCAAATTGTTTTCCAATGAACTTGCACTGTTACAAACTTTTATAGCATGTGTTTAAAAGATTCTTTTAAAGCATTATTTTAAAGGGCTGCATAGTATTCTGTCTTATGATTGTAACACAACTTAAAATATCCTCTGATTTATACAAATTAGATCTTCTGATTTTTCTCTATAAGGAAACCACTGCAATCATCATTCTTGTACATACAAGTATGCATATCTCTGTTTTCTTATAATAAATTTTCTGAAGTCCAACTTAATCTGGACCAAAGATTATGACTATTAATAATTTAATTTACTTGCCCTGTCCGGTTTGGCTCAGCAGTTAGAGCGTCAGCCTGCGGTCCGGAGAGACCCGGGTTCGGTTCCAGCTAAGGGCACGTACCTTGGTTGCAGTTTGTTCCCGGCCCTGGTTGGGTCGTGTGAGTGGCAACCACTTGATGTGTCCCTATCACGTCGATGTTTCTCTCTCCCTCCCTCCCACTCTATCTGAACAAAATATCGAAAAATGTCCTCAGGTGAGGAAAAAAAAAAGAATAAAAAAATAAATAAATAATAATTTAATTTACTGCCCTGGCCGGTTTGGCTCAGCTGTTGGAGCGTCGGCCTGCGGACCAGAGTCCCAGGTTCAGTTCCCGCTTGGCCCTAGCGGCTAGGGGCACGTACCAATAAATAAATAAATTAAATAAATAATTTAATTTAATTGACTGGGTCAAAGAGAAAGAATATTGGTAGCATTTTTTAGAAAGGCTGTACCGATTTAAAGTTATACGAGAAATGTGTAAGTGTGGATAAGAAAGTATTTTTCTGGGCACCACAATGTTTTAATCACTGCCATTTTGAAAGACAAAAATGGGATTTCTCTGTGTTTTTATTTGTACTTCTTTGATTAATAAACACTTTTCCATAGGTTTATTGACTGCATTTGCTATTTTGAGAACTGCCTATTTATACCTTTGTGCGTTTTCTACTGGATTACTTCTGTTCCAAGAACTCTGAGTTCGAATAAATTACACATTTCTGCACAAAAACTCCTTACAACAATGTACCTATAGTTGACCATGGATATAGAAAAGGTTTTCAAAATATATAAAAGATTTTAAAAATCAGCATAATTTCAGGATCTCACTGAAATACAGCTCAGTGTAATCAGTTTTTGGGTCACCTTCTTTGTATTTAAGGTTAAAATCATTCTTCCTTTACCATTGAATTCTTCAATTTCCAACTCTGGAGCTACCATGTAATACTGTTCACACAGCATCTTGGCAGTTTCATATGCATCTGCAAAGAAAGAAAAAAGTTTAGCTGCTGCACTATAACACAGGGACAAGCAGATAGATGATGGATGGATGGATGGATGGATGGATGGATGGATAGATAGATAGATAGATATAGATAGATAATAGATAAGCAAACAAGGACAATTTCAAACCTGATGGATTTAGAATTAGTCATCTACTGCCTTTTTTTTTTAAATAGACTTTTTGGCTTTAATAGAAATACTATGACTGAATCAAAATTTCTCCTTTAAAGTTTTCATGACCACATCAAAACACTGCATTAATGAAAATATGGCCTGCTCTATACTAAACACACATTTGTTTCACTTTTAAATATTCCTAAAAGGCATTTTTTCATGAAAATCTGTAAACTCAAGAATATACCTCTGAACACCATACAACCTGACTAAATTATGGCAAAATGATATTCACTGTAACTTAAAAAATAGTAATGTCAACAATCTTTAGATTCGTCAATTACTTATAAATGAAACACGAGTAAGTGTTTGCTGAGTGAATGGGTTTCCAGGAACCACATATTCTAAGTTACTGGAGATACTACCATAGTTTAAAAATATCCTTTGCCCTGGCCGGTTTGGCTCAGCGGTTAGAGTGTTGGCCTGCGGTCCCGAGAGACCTGGGTTCGGTTCCTGCTACGGGCATGTACCTCAGTTGCAGTTTGTCCCCGGCCCTGGTTGGGGTTGTGCGGTGGCAACTACTCGATGTGTCCCTTTCACATCGATGTTTCTTTCTCCCCCTCTCTCTCTCTCCCTCCCTCCCTCCCACTCTATCTGAACAAAATATCCAAAAATGTCCTCGGGTGAGGATAAAAAACAAACAAACAAATAAAAATATCTTTTAAGTTAGTTAAAGGTGACCATATTGGGGCTGATAGTCATCAAAATCTGAGGAGCAACAGTTTGCTTTTGAAAGGAGAGAGAAAAAGACATAGGGTAAGAAGATCAGAGCCATTCCAGAAACAGCTGAGAGAATTTAGAAGGTTACATCCCAAAAGATGGGGAATAACCAGAAAGCAAGAGTACATTATTATATACTACATTTGTGCTTTTTCTCTGTAAGCAATCTGAGGTCAGGGTTTGTGTCTTACACTTGTTTTGTAACTTACATAGAACTTAGTACATGCCTATTAGATGGCCAATAACTATTCTTTGGTTTAATAAATTTGAAACCTTTTGATAATTCACTTTGTAAAAAAAAGACTTTATTGAAATACCATACAAGTCACCCATTTAAAGTATATATACAGTCCTGGCCGGTTTGGGTCAGTGGTCAGAGCTTCGGCCCATGGACCAAAGAGTCGCGGTTCAATTCCAGTCAGGGGCACGTACCTCGGTTGCGGTTCATCCCCAGCCCTGGTCGGGGTGTGTGGGAGGAGACCAGTCGATATGTCTCTCTCACATCGATGTTTCTCTCTCTCTCCCCCTCCCTCCCTCCCCTCCATTCTATCTAAGGATAAATGGAAAAAATATCCTCGGGTGAGGGTTAAAAAAAGTAACAATAAAGTGTATATACAACTCAATGGTTTTTAGTGCATCTGCAGAGTTGCATAGCCATAACCACAATCAACTTTACATTTTCATCACTCCCCCCAAAAAACTCCATAACCATTAACAGTCATTTCCTCCACCCCAGCCCTAGGCAACCACAGGTCTATTTTGTGCCATTAGATTCATTATTCTGGATGTTTCATATAAATGGAATCTAATAATATGTGATCTTTAGTGTCTGGCTTCTTTTACTTAGCATAATGTTTTCAAGGGTCATCCATGTTGTAACATGTCAGAACTTCACTCTTTTTTGTTTGTTTGTTTTCATTGATTTTTTTTTATTTTTAGAGAAACATCGATGTGAGAGAGAAACATCAATTGGCTGCCTCCTATACGCCCCCTACTGGGGATCGAGCCCACAACTCAGGCATGTGCCCTGACCAGGAATTGAACCAGTACCTCTCAGTCCACGGGACAACACTCAATCCACTGAGCCACACTGGCTGGGCAGAATATATCACATCTTGTTTATCCATTCAATCATTAATGGACACGTGGATTGTTTCCCTTTTTTTTTTATCCTCACCTGAGGAAATTTTTCCATTTTTTGTTCAGATAGAGTGGGAGGGAGGGAGGGAGGGAAGGGGGGGGGAGAGAGAGAGAGAGAGAAACATCGATGTGAAAGGGACATATTGAGTGGCTGCCACCTACACACAACCCAACCAGGGCTGGGAACAAACTGCAACAGAGGTACATGCCCTTAGTGGGAACCAAACCTGGGTCTCTCTGGACCACAGGCCGATGCTCTAACCGCTGAGCCAAACTGGCCAGGGCTGTTTCCACTTTTTAGCTGTTAGGAATAACGCTATGAACATTCACATCAAGTTCTTTGTGAACATATGTCTTCATTTTTCTTGGGTAGATTCCCAGCAGAGGGGAACTGCTTAATCATATGGTAGCTCTATGTTTAAATGTTTGCGGAACAGCCAGACTTGTTTTCCAAAGTGAGAAGTTGTTGTTTTCTTTTTAAAATTTCACCTTTACAATTTCTTGTTTTATTTTTATTTATTTTTTCCTTTTTGATTTTGAGAGAGAGAGGAAAGGAGAGGGAGAGCAAGATGGAAACATTGATGAGAGAGAACATTAATAGGCCTCCTCCTGCATGCCCCCCACTGGGGATCAGGCCCACAACCTGGGCATGTGTCCTGACTGGGCATTGAACCAGCGACCTCTTGGTGCATGGGTCGACGCTCAACCACTGAGTCCACGGGCCGGACTCACCTTTACAATTTCTAAAGGTCAGAAATTCAGATTACTTTAAAACAATTCATGGTGTGTGTGTGCAATGTTCTCAACTGGATACCAGCTCTTTAGAGACAGGCTCATACTTCTTTTACATTACCTACATCAATATTGTGAAGATATCTGTTTAAAATTTAAGAGGTAAAAGAAAGAGAGAAAGAAGGAAAAAAAAGAAAGAAATGGGGGAAAATAAGCCCTACGGAATTTAAGTATGTTAAAATTTGACATATCAACCTAAAATAATACGAAGGTAAGATTCGGGTATGTTCAGACTGAGTTTTGGTTCACTGACCTCATATTGCTACCAAATTACAATTTTATATAATATTTGACCTCAGAATAAAAATTCTGATTATTTTATTAAACTTATAGAATTAAACCTCTGTAAAGAACCAGAGATAAAGACATTAGAACAACTGACAAGATGAAATGAGGAAATTTTAGTAAGAGAGAAAAAAAGAGCTGATCAAGTGTGAAAATAGACATTAAAGTAGGACAACCGAAACCCTAAAAAACTTTAGAATCATATTAAATTTGCAGGTTTTTCCCTAGGGTATAATAAACCTCATCAAATATCTGTAAAAGACTTTTGTAAAAAGAAATCAAGATGCACACTTTCGGCTTTGGCTACACCACCAAACAATGCTACATCTCCACCTAGTGACACGATAGCACAAAGCCAGCCAAGAACCTCCAGGGCTACTCCACTTAAATCAACAAATACTGAAATCGAAAAACGATGCTTTGTTCTCCATACACAAAGCCAGTACATCACAAAATAACTCCTCCAAGTATGTAACACCTTTAAAGGTGTTTTGACATCTTTTTTCCATTCACTATAAAAGGAAAAGAACCCACTACATGTGCTAGCTCCTCATAGCATTTGCGTGCCCAGTAGCATGAAATTATAACGGCATTATTAAGAAAAAGCACTACGGCCCTGGCTAGTTTGGCTCAGCAGTTAGAGCGTCGGCCTGCGGACCAGAGAGTCCCAGGTTCGGTTCCTGCTAAGGGCACGTACCTCAGTGGCAGTTTGTCCCCGGCCCTGGTTGGGGTCGTGTGGGTGGCAGCCAGTCGATGTGTCTCTCTCTCTCTTCCTTCCTTTCTCCTTCCTGCTCTATCTGAAGATGAATGCAAAAATGTCCTCGGGTGAGAATTAAAAAAAAAGAAAAAGCACTACACACATGTAACATGTGGAAGAAATGGTAGAGCCCAGATAGAAGCCGCCAATTTGGGACTCAAAGACCCAGTGTGGTTCCTAAAACCACCTGTGAATAAGAATTTTGAAAGCATCATGACAAATTATGGTGTATAGTTACTGTAATTGAAAATTGCATTGTAATGCTTGAAAAACTCAAAACACCACAATGAGATTCATATACATCAGCCAGTCAAGTATTTTAGGGAGAGTAATAGTAAAATCTATATTCATATGCATCTTTTTAAAATTCCCATAGCACAGCCCTGGCCAATGTGGCTCAGTGGTAAGAGCCAACATCGCCTACAGACCAAAGAGTCCCGGGTTCAATTCCAGCCAAGGACACATACCTCAGTTGCAGTTCGTCCCTGGCCCCGGTTGGGGTTGTGCGGGAGGCAACCAGTCGATGTGTCTCTCTCACATGGATGTTTCTCTCTCCCTCCCTCCCTCCCTCCCTCTCTCCTTCCAGCTCTATCTGAAGATCAATGTAAAAAAATATATATCCTTGAGTAAGGATTAAAAATAAATAAATAAAAATTTTTTAAAAATAAAATTCCCATAGCACATCATAATGCCTTGGATATGATGCACAGCTAGCAAACATCTGATAAAGGGAATAATCCTCTTGCCCATGAGAAAGTCCTGAAAGTACAATCAATTATACTAATGAGAGATGTTCTTTTTTTTTTTTATCCTCACCCCAAGAATGTTTTTATTGATTTTTAGAGAGAGGAAGGGAGAAAGAGAAACACTGATGTAAGAGAGAAACAGCAATGTGAGAAAGAAACATCAACTGGTTGTCGTCTGCACATGCCCTGACTGGAGTTCGAACCCACAACCTTTTGGTGCACAGGACAAAACTCCACCCAAACTGAGCCACCTGGCCAGGGTGAGAGACATTCTTTTCTGTCAGACTGGGAACCAGAGGCCCTGCATGGTTCCCAAATGTGGCTGTATGTGCAATTCACTACCAAGTGTTTCAAAAATACAGAT